TTACAAATAATTTTTATTTACCTTAAATTTAGTCCTAAGTAAATAAAATTTGACTTAACAAGTAAATATTATTATCCCAATTCACTGAAGGTGCCCTCTGAATTAGCTCTTTAAAATAAAAAGAAATGATAAATATATAAACTGAATATAATAAGATTAATTATTACCCTATGTTTAGTTCTAAAGCTAACAAATTTTTTATCTATTTAAGAGACATAGCCAATTTTTAAAAACTGGTCTGATCAAAATCAATATTTAAAAAGCAAAAAAATATTGTTAATTATCTTAGAAAAGCTTTTATAATAATTAAAGATAAAATCTATATTAAAATAAAATATTACCGGAATGAAAGAGATAATTTTCTTAAATTCTAAAATTTCTAAAAGAGAGCTTCAAGGTCATAATCTTTCTAAAATGAAATCCTATTGAATCTATTTATATTAAATATTTAATTAATTTTTATTGTTAAAATATCCCAAAATGATATTATTGTTAATATTACTCTAGTGATATATCTAAAATCTCAAGTTTTTGTAATTCAGATATATTGTTCAGTAGATTAAACAATCCTTGATCTCTTATTTAATTTTTACTATTTAAGAATATTAAATAAAATGCCTTAATTTGTCAAAAGTAAAAACAATTTCAAAAAATATTAATAAATAATTTTAAACTTGAGATCAATATTTGATTAATAAATAAAATTTGAGTTTCTTTTTTACAATTTTTTAAATTTATATGTTTATTATTTTTAAGCTTTTTTTGAATTTATAAATAAATTTTAATTAAGTTCTATCAAATTTTTACTCTAAAACAAGCTTTAATTTTTTAACATCTAAGATATCTTTTAATTATTAACCTAAATTAGCAATTTATTCGTCTACAAGATCATTATTTCTTTTATTAATTTTATTATTAATAATAAATTTTAATATAAAGAATTTTTTTTCATATTAAGATAATTTAAATTTCAAAAAAATATATAAAAAAACCATTATTATAATTATTG